GGTATGTGTGCTTGATATTGAGTGTGAACCGCTGCTGAAACAATGCAATTTCCCAGATTGGGATTAATAAAGTATTTCTATCTATCTATCTTCTTGTAACCTTAGTGGACTAAAAGTGATTCTCACCATGCTGCTGGTGTTGGGCTGTCCCATAGTGGTGGTGTTTCCAAAGGAGAAGCCGGTGCTCTGTGTAGTGGTAGTCGGACCAAATGGCTTGGAGGACAAACAGAGGACATCACTTAGCTAGCTCTAACAAACACTTCTCATTTCACTGTGGCATGATGCAGATCTTGGTTTGAATAAAATAAAATTAAAAAATAAAATTAAAAAAAAAACAAAAAAAAAAAACAGATTCGCTTGTCATCATAAATTACTTGGTCCAAATGTGCCCTTATTTGGTCCAAAGGAGAAGCTACTGTTAGGGGCTGTGGAGCCGAAAAGGCCGGTGGTGCCACTGGATGTGGGTGTGGCTGAACTGAACAGACTGCCCGTCCCTGGAGCCATGGGATTGGTCGGGCCTTTCCTGCCAGCCTGGTAGTCCTCGAGCCTCAGTTCCTGCAGGAACACGCATGACATAAATGTAAAAACAGAGTGGGCGTAAAAATAAATATAATATAAAACAGACTTTTCTGACGGCAGACATCTTCTCACACCACCTTCCCTTATCCATTCTACTGCAGGAGGACAGTCTATCTCAAGTTCACATACTGGGTCTATAGCAACTGTCTTTGCCAGCTATTTTGTACCTTCATTATTATTATTATTATTATTATTATTATATTATTGCTTTTTAAATATTTTATTTTGTGATTACATTTTATTTATTGGAACTAGTTTTAACTCCATTTTATTGATTTTTAAAAGACTTGATTTTGTTATTCATTTTTTTACCCAATTGCTTTTCTGCCTTATCTTTTATCTGTAAAACACTTTGTATTAAATTAACCTTTGTTAAAAATACCATAGAAATAAAGTTTGATTTGAATGGATATTATGGCATTAAAATTTCAATCCATTCAGCCTACTTCCTAATTATTAACCCTGGGTGGATCTGAATGTTGACTCTTTTCCTCTAGAAAAATCAACACAGCAAAGCAAAAATTAGACAAGACATGATTTGCTCAGGTGCAGTCGAGCTTCACTAAAGTCACTGCAATGATCTAGCTTCTGTATGTATTTCCAGGATGGAGAGTGACATGTGAATTCATCAGTCTACAAACTTACCTCCAGGGATTTGTTCTCGTATTCCTTCATGGCTGTGATGCACTGGTGCTTGGTGTTGATGCTTGTGGTCACGCCAGCTTTCACCATTGTGTCACTTCCTGTTGGAGGCTGAAGGGGAAAGACAAAAAGCATCATGTGAACCAGCATGCATTAAGAATCTAAATGCTTCACCCTTCACACCAAGTGCTGTTTTTACGTCATTTAAAATTTAAAAACAACATACCAACTATAGGCAGTATGTTCTTTATACAACTGTTTACAGTGCAGGGAATACACCAGAAACCAATACACAGTTGTATACTAACAGGAAACCTCATAATACACATGCAGTCAGACATCAAACTGCAACTTTAAACATCACAAAAACACAGAGGTTCCCCCTAATGTATAGTATATTTTAGTTCGAGTTTTTCTTGGAGCTGTTGTACCACTGCTTTAAATGTTTACCAGCTGTAAGCATTTTCTTCAAACACAGGACACAAATATTTTAGGAGACATGTGAACAAACAAACAAACAAAAAACAAAAAAAACTTTATTTCACCAATTAATCTGCTGAATATTTTCTTAAATAACTGTGTCACTGAATAGTGAAAGTCCAAGGTGGCATCTTCAAATGTCTTGTTTTGTCCAAGCAACAGTCCGAACCCAAACATATTCAGTGGACTGCGATATGACAAAGACGTTCTGGTAGATGGAAGCAGCAAACATTTGGCCTTATTGCAATAAAAATGGCTTTAGCAATATTATAGAATACTTGCACAATAATTTCTGTGAACATAGTACATTCAAAACATGCTTAAAATTAGAACGTAGTATTAAACTGGAACACAGACTAAACCTCCAACTACAGCAGGACGGATGTTTCTGCAGCCGGTCCTGCGTCCACATGTACTGAAACTGAAGTACTCACGTTGAATTTTACGGTTGTGCCTGGCTGCTGTGCAGCAGAGAACCCCGAGCCTCCAAACAGGGAGGTTGTTCCACCAAAAGGGTTGGAAGTGGTACTGGTCGACCCAAACAGCCCACCGCTGCTGGTGCTTGTCCCGAAGTCTGGTGGACACAGCAGGAGTAGTATTTCTTGTTTAGTGCTCAGACATTTCATTGGAAATAAATGAAAATGACAACTAGACCAGGCACTTTGTAAACTGAGCTGGAGCACATGATTATGGTCATTTAACACTTTTTTGTCAGCAGAATTTTACATTTTCAACATTTTAAGCATCAAGACAAACACATGGATCAACCAATTAAAAAATAACTCAATTTAAAAAGGTTCATGCATGAATGTTCCACAACATCAGTGGTCTGGAAAAAGAGCACTGAGGATTTTCCAGACAATTTCTGCTAAAACAACAAAAAACATTTCTGACCTGTTAATCACTATGATGGGATAAAAACAATATTTAAAACATCTGTAAATTAAAGACTTTTTATTACCTCTAAGCTTTTTTTGAGAAGAGCTGCAAACACCATCATCATACTTTTACATTAGTTTGCCTCAAATCCTTAGTACTTTAATTTTTGGGTTGCTGATCTTCACATCATGGCTGCTCTGATACATATTTCTTGTTACTGAACCAAATGTTTAGAAGTTCTCTCCTTATTGACAGTCAGCTGTTTTCAAGCTCAAATTGAAAAGCAGGGCATGTATAATTGATCTAATCTGATGGGATAACAACCAAAACAATGAAGCCGAGAGGGTTCTCACTTCCAAAAGACGTGGGTTTGTTGGCACCAAAAGCACTGTTCGGCTGGGAGAAGAGTCCGCTGCTGGTGCCGGTGCTGGTATTGCCAAACAAGCTTGCGGAAGTGCCACTCGGCGCACCAAAACCGAAGCTGGTGCTGGTGGAGGAAGTGGCTGGCTGGCTAAATGTACTGGACCCAAACAGACCGCCTGCAGAAACGCAACAGGAATACATTAGTACATTTATTTAAGCGTCTGTCTTTTCACATGCATTCAAAAATTCTATATACACAAATAATATACAAAGAAATAAAATATAAAAGAAACACAAAAGATACACAAACAGGATTTTAAAGTATTCAAACTAATATTTTTAGAAAATTTAAAAAGACCTGGTCCAGACCACCTGAGAAGTCCTGACGGTTCAGCGCACATCAGCAGATCAGAACTCTATTCTGGCCCTACACAAAGCAGCACTCATGCTAAAGCACTAAAAATTCTGAAAACTGTAAAACCTCACAGGAGGGCAGATGTGGTGAAAGCTGATCCCCAGAAGGGAAAAGCTCACTGGTGCAGGACTGACACACTGAATAAACAAACAAACTAACAAACAAACAATACAAAAGCGGCTGCAAATGAGCCGAGCTGACAAACCAGGGTTATTCTGTGTGGAACCAAACAGCCCTCCAGTGTTGCCGGTCGCCCCAAACGCAGACGTCCCAAAGCCTCCCGTCGTCCCAAAACCTGTGCCTGTAGAAGCAAAGCTCATGTGAGGACAGGTCATTGTAAAATCACCTTCTGCAGCTTTGTTCACCAGGGACAAAACCCTGAAATAGAGCCCTCCACTAACAACAGACTAGATGAAGATGTTCACTCAGATCATCATATTATGCGCCTGATCATTTACCAACTGGAGATGAGTGATACAACCTAAAACCCACAGTACAGGAAAAAAAGCCACACGCCCCTCACCATGTATGTGTGTATATATGTATATATGTGTTTATAAGTACTTTACTATAATTTTTGATCGCTTTTCCTAATGCACATTCCTTTGCTTGTTGCTATGTATGTACATATTGAGAGCACCAGAGTCAAATTTCTCGTGTGTCCGTCACACCTGGCCAATAAAGCTGATTCTGACATTTCCTTTCCCATCTTAGCTCATTTCCAATATGTTTGTACTAATTTAAAGGCAACGTGACCAGTTAACATCTCTGGACTTAATTGTTGTGTGATTCCCTAGGTTGCACTTCTGGTAGGGTGTCATTTGGTTGCTGTAGGTGTTCTATATAATTCAGTTTCACTGGATAAAACAAACCCATGAGCAACAGCGCATTTCATGTTGACAGAATATGGCTTGTGTTTGGACTGTCATCTACTAATTAAACTGGGCAGCTTATGCCTTTGCTGGATGATAACCTGGGAAAAACCAAATAATTTAACAAAATCTGAATAACTTAGGGCATGTTAAACAAATACAGCATTCAGACAAGTTAAAGACACAAAAGGAGCAGTACTTTAAAACAATCATTGAGTCACTAATTTCCAAAAGTTTTATTTTTATGCAGCCCAAAACAATGTTGGAAACCTCTGGATTTACTGTCTGGAATATTCACTGCAGTCACAAAGTAAAACACATCTCAATTATACTTTCAGCCATTGCTGTGATCTAATCTAATCAATGTGAACATTGCGTCTCTTTATTTAACTATAAAGTCCCAACGTCCAGGAGTCAGAACAATGACACATACAACAAAGACAGGGACTTTGTTGTTTCTAGGTTCATCTGTAAGAACCAACTCAACCTATTGCAGATGTAGACTTAAATCCCAGAGATTAAATTAACAAAACTTACTTTGCTGTCCGAAGGTCGACGAGGCGCCAAACCCCCCGGTCCCTCCACCAAAGGGAGTACTAAATGACTTGTTAAACATCTTGCGCTGCTAGCAGGCCTGCATAAGTCTGCTGTACGGAGACAAACAAGAACAGCCACATCTGCATCAACTTTTTACACAGCAGCATTCCTATGGATACATCTGCTGCAGAAGAAATATGAAAAGTTAAAGTTAGAAAATAACTGCACTGGAAATAAGACGAAACAATTCTTATTAGTGCGCTATTCACTCAAAAAAAAGTCATTTGTAGAACTGATAAGGAGATGGACAACATTGTTCAGTGCACTACAAGTAACTAAAGCTGCCAAGGAAATGTAGTGCAGTAAAAAGCACAATATGATTGTGGAATGCAGTGGAACAGCAGTATAAAGTAGCATGAAATGTAAACAGAGTACTTATGTACCAAAACTCTGCATGAACACAGTACTTATGTAAATGTACTTTCCACCACTGCTGTTAGGTCAGCTTTCACTTGATTGTGCACTGAGAAGCGGGGGTTTGCTTTTAAATCTAACATGACAAAGTTTAGCACCACTCTCTAGGCACCAAGTAACGTTAATCCAGAAAACTACATTAGCTGAGCTCCACGTGCAGCTAACCGGGCGGTGTCGGTAATCAGTATATCTTCTCCAAAATTCAACATTAATATCTGTCACTGTCAGTTAGTCGAGTTTAAACTGTTTGGGAACCGAGTCCGTCACTTAACGAGTCTGAGCCAGATGAGACCAGCTATAAAACGAAAAGGAAATCTCAACACAGCTAACACTGACAAGCCCGTCGCACAATATCCGCTCCAGCTAAGAATATGTTAGCACTGTGAATTCACCGCTTTACACAACCTATTGACTGTCCTTGCTAATGACCAATGTGCGCTTTAAAATCGAGATAAATTCTTACTACTATTGCGCATTTACCGTGTTATGGACAGCTGCTAGTTCAAGTTAGCTAAGCGTATCAAGCTAATGTTAGCAAGCTAGCTCGCCGGCTAACCACTTAGCGTTGCTACGTAAACGTTAGCAAAACTATAGCAAGACAAAGAAATAGCCGTCATTACTGTAGCAAATACATACCTTTAACAACTTTGTTATGGATGGCCGATTTCTTTAACGCGCCTCCCTCTGTAGTGTTAAAATTTCGGTGTTCAACAATAATCGTCTTTAGCTAAACATCAACAGAACTAAACAGCTTTGCCTCTTCGAAGAGGGAAAACCGTCGACAAGCGGCCGTCACTACGCACTTTCATACGACATGACGTAATGAGGACGACGCTGCAAATAACTCAATGGTAGACAAATATGAAATTCTAGGCCCCTGTCGGACACCGAAAAAAAAACTGCGGCTACGAGCAGTCCCACTCTGAAGGAGATACTGTTTCCACTCAGAAAGAACACCACAGTCCTTGAAGATAACAAAACTCCAACTTCTTATTTTGGGGTCAGAATGGATTTATTATATTACCATCTTGACCACGTGGATGGTGTTAAAATGTAGTGAGCCACACTTTGAGCAGAGCAGGTACTTTATTGATCCCACAGTGGGAAAATTTCTGTGTTACAGCATCAATAGAGAACAACCAACATAACACCCTATGAACAGACACATAAGAACAGGACTTCATAAAAACACGGAAAAGAACACAACAAGGACACAGCTGCTGTAACTTGCTACCACTCCACCTGGTGAAACAAAGAACACTTAGTCTTTAAATAAACAGTTACATAAAGGCAACAAAGCATTAGAACCCATACACACAAGTAACATCATCAGAACGTTACATTTTACACAGCACAAATAAGCAAATCAAGGCACCTAAAAACAGGGCAGAGCAGCACTGGAGAGAATCAGGAACAGCAGTAGAGACTAAACAACCAGGAAATCAAGAACAATCCAATATTGCTCACACAATTAATCCCACAATGGGGGAGTCAAACTCCCTACTTTGAGTGATTGATACAGTTAAAAACTGAAATATCACAGCTGTCCTGAGAAAAACAGAAAAATACTCATAACATTCACCATTCTAAGAGTAATAAAAAAGTGCTATATTAATTATAAAGAACAACATTTAATCTTATAACACAACAAACAAAGCTGGAATAAAATCAAAACATTTACAACTAGTAAATGTGCTGTCTCTACATAGTCCTTCAAATATGGAGTTCAACAAGGATATGCTCTATTTTCAGGTGTAACATAGATATAAACCACAATTACCAGTATATACAAAGCTTGATCAGTTCCATGAAGCCTAGGTTCAGATATCAGCCTTGACTGGAAGGACAGAGTTTCCGATAGCAAAGATAGTTCACGAGGACGGGTCTGATGGTCTGGTCTCTGATACCATAGATCAGCGCACTCAAACATCTGGGAGAGATGAAAATACACACATAGAAAACAATCTGGATGTACACAAACACTAGCCTTGTTACAATTTTTGAAAGAACTATAAGAATTTGGCTGTGCATAGTTGACAACAGACAGAGGCTGAGCTGCACCAGGTGCAGCAGCAGCGTGTTACGAGCCTTTCGAGCTGAAGCTTTGTCCGTGGAGGCTGCCCTGGCTGCTACCATCACACCAATATAGGAGGACGTGATCACTGCAGAAGCTGATACGAACAGAACATAATAGTAGACTTTGTCATAAAGATCAGACACTGGAGAAAGCAACATGCTTTCTCTGCCACAAATGTCATTCATTTGCAGGTTTGCAGATATAAAATCTAACAGCAAAAGCACTCGAATGAGCATATTTAATGAGCTGAAGGCCCAAACCACAGTAACGGCCACTGTTTCTAACGGTGACAACTGTAGCATGCCTGTTTCTAACGGTGACAACTGTAGTGTGCCTCAGTGGGTAGCACACAGCTACGTACCTCTCCAAAGACATCACCACCAGCGTGAGAGGGGAGATGTCATTTGTGAGATCAGTGAGCAGAGTGAGAACAACACATGCAGAGTACATCAGCAGTATCCTACTAACAGCCAGTAGGTACAGCAGCTGGGCCTGTGCCAGCTGTACAGTGTCTGCAAACAGCAGGTTATACAGCAGAATGTAACGCGAGGTCTCACGAAACACTCGTCTACTCCTCAGGGTGAATAACATGGTCCCGTTAATGAAGAGAAACACACAGCATGGCACTGTGGTCAGAGTGGAAAACATCACTTTTTCCAGTAAGCCCCGGTACTGCAGCTGAGTACTGACATTAGTCTGATACTCATTTCCAGACAGCATTTTAGAAAAATAAGTAACCTCAACACACAATGAAATATCTTCCAGGTTGTAATCCTACAACAACGAAGCTCCACAGCCAGCACAGATTCCTGTTGAGTTAACATGCAAAACCTAAAGTCATGCAAATGTATTTTCCCTGAGCAAAGTTAGCAGGTTAGTGGCTGTGAGCAGAGCTGGTCTGCAGGGTTTGCCCACCCTCACACACCATATATGAGCTCTGTCCTCGGCTGTTTCACATGACACCATCATTTGTCCACATGGTTAACAGCTCATCAACAGGGAACCTCTCCTCTATGATTTCCCAACAGCTTGGTCATGTGATGGCTTGTTGTTTTGCTTGTTTTGTTATTGCTGCCCACTGCTCCTAGTGTGTAGAATGGGTTAATGCAGTCATGGTGCTATGTTGTCCAGCTCAACCACCCATGGCTGCTACCATCACACCAGTATAGCAGGAGGTGATCATTACAGAAGCTGGGACAAACATTAAATAAGTGAAGGTCTTTTAATAAAGATCATGCAACGTACTGTAGCTCTATCAGAGCAACAGTCTTTCATCTGCACATTGGAGCATATGAAAAATCTGATGTAGAGGTGCCGATTCTCATCCAAACTGTTACTCACTTGACTGAGAACTGTCCCTGTGTACAGTAATGGTCACTGATCCCTGGCACTCTATTACTGGGGGGCTTCTGGCTACCTCTCTGACTTTTGTTTGACAAACAGGCCAGCCTTCCCCCAAGTCTTCCAAATCTGCTTCCTTCACACAGGGTGCCTCGACTGGACTCAGGAGCTCCTCAGAGTATTCCTTCTACCAGCTATATCCTGAGTCAGAGTCAGTAGCTCTCATCCTCTTCCTTAGTCCTCCAACAGTTTACTAGACCCACCCAGCTGAGGTCAAAGAAAAGGGCCCTGAACGTTTGGACAGATCAGCTGCTATCAACCACCTGCTGCCCCCAGCCAATCATCATCTGCCTAGCAAGGCGGTGAAGGAACTCCCTAATGTCAGAGTATTCCTTCTACCAGCTATGCGGGCTTTCATGTGTCTTGCACTGAGGAGAGGCTTCCGTCGGGCCACTCTGCCATAAAGCCCCGACTGGTGGAGGGCTGCAGTGATGGTTGACTTTCTACACCTTTCTCTCATCTCCTGACTGCATCTCTGGAGCTCAGCCACAGTCATCTTTGGGTTCTTCTCTACCTCTCTCACCAAGGCTCTTCTCCCCCGATAGCTGAGTTTGGCCGGACGGCCAGCTCTAGTAAGGGTTCTGGTCATCCCAAACGTCTTCCATTTAAGGATTATGGAGGCCACTGTGCTCTTAGGAACCTTAAGTGCAGCAGAAATTCTTTTGTAACCTTGGCCAGATCTGTGCCTTGCCACAATTCTGTCTCTGAGCTCTTCAGGCAGTTCCTTTGACCTCATGATTCTCATTTGCTCTGACATGCACTGTGAGCTGTAGGGTCTTATATAAACAGGTGTGTGGCTTTCCTAATCACATCCAATCAGTATAGTCAAACACAGCTGGACTCAAATGAAGATGTAGAACCATCTCAGGGATGATCAGAAGAAATGGACAGCACCTAAGTTAAATATATGAGTGTCACAGCAAAGGGTCTGAATACTTATGACCATGTGATATTTCAGTTTTTCTTTTTTAATAAATCTGCAAAAATGTCAAAAATTCTGTGTTTTTCTGTCAATATGGGGTGCTGTGTGTACATTAATGAGGAAAAAAATGAACTTAAATGATTTTAGAATATGGCTGCAATATAACAAAGAGTGAAAAATTTAAGGGGGTCTGAATACTTTCCGTACCCACTGTACAGTGCCTTGCGAAAGTATTCGGCCCCCTTGAACTTTGCGACCTTTTGCCACATTTCAGGCTTCAAACATAAAGATATAAAACTGTAATTTTTTGTGAAGAATCAACAACAAGTGGGACACAATCATGAAGTGGAACGAAATTTATTGGATATTTCAAACTTTTTTAACAAATAAAAAACTGAAAAATTGGGC